GGTTTTCAGAGAGCTGCCTGTGTCCTTCCACTGTAGAAATTAGAGAAAAGCAGGCAAATAATTTGGAACTATTAGATAAATACCACAAGCCACAGTAATAGGATGATCATGAGCAATTTGAAAACTCAGGGAGGCATCTGCATGGGAAAATGCAAAATGAAATGATTTCCATCTGCTTCTCTCAAGGGCATCCTCTTAAGGCTCATCTACATGTGACCTTGTTTGATACAAAGTGTCTGTGAGTGTGCTGCCGGGCTGACACGGGGCGTCTGTGAGTGTGATGCCGGGCTGACACGAGGCGTCTGTGAGTGTGGTGCCGGGCTGACACGGGGCGTCTGTGAGTGTGGTGCCGGGCTGACACGGCACGTCTGTGAGTGTGCTGCCGGGCTGACACGGCGCATCTGTGAGTGTGGTGCCGGGCTGACACGGGGCGTCTGTGAGTGTGGTGCCGGGCTGACACGGGGCGTCTGTGAGTGTGCTGCCGGGCTGACACGGGGCGTCTGTGAGTGTGGTGCCGGGCTGACACGGGGCGTCTGTGAGTGTGGTGCCGGGCTGACACGGGGCGTCTGTGAGTGTGGTGCCGGGTTGATACAAGGTATCTGTAAACGTGTTGCTAACTTTCAAGTTTTAATGCACTAAAGGACAGCAATTTAGGGAGAAAGGCCAACATTTACATTGTCATGATTGTGCTGAAACTTTTGCTTTCCAAGTGAAAGCTGTTCTTTTGGCTGTGCAAAGCCGGATGTCCTAGCTGGTGGAGAGCAGGTGGGGCCGGGGCTGATGGGTCTGGCCGCCCTCCACCCACCGTGTGCAGGGCTGCGTTGGCTCCAGAGCTCAGGCGTCCTCTCCTCTGGCTCCTGCTGCTCGTCCTCTGCTGGGCCGTTATGCACGCCCGGCTTCCGCTGCATGGCATCATTGGGACCACACGCATCACTAATAATGATGCTGCGTGTCTGTGGGTCAGACGGGCTCCTGGGAGCCAGCCAGGCGGCGTGCCACGCTACATTGGAAGAGATAATGTTGTTCCTGGTGAAGGTTATTCTGTGGCCCAGCAGCCCGTTCCCTACATGAAGCCTGGCTTAGCGATAGGAAGGCAGGTGCCGGGGTTCTCCAGGGCACGGCAGAGGGTCTGGAAGCAGCAGGAGGGAGGCTGGGCCTGGGGGTGGGAGGCAGTGGCTCCTGGCATTTGCAGAGTTGTTACTGGCAGGCTGGGTAGCTGCAGAAGGGCCTCCTTCAAAGGCTCGTCACACGGGACCCTACGGGGTTGGGCCTGGGGTGTTGGGACTCAGGAAGGAGCAGGTGTGGCTGTCAGGAGACCCCTTTCCAGCACAGCTCCAGGGCCCAGGGCTGCCTTTGTTCTGGGCAGCCATGGGCTCAGCTGTTCCCCAAAGAATTGGGTTGGATCCCAACCTCTGAGCAGTGGTCATCAGAGAGGTGACAGAGGACAGATGGCAGGCACTCATGGCTTCTCAGTGTTGGAAGAGAAAGCTCCTCAGAGTGAACTGCCCCAGGCAGACATGACTGAGAAACATGGAGTTGCTCGGTCCACTCAGCCCAGACCAGTTTCTGGGTGACGGGCTTCTCCCTGTGGCTGCTCCTGGCCCACTTGCTGCAGGTACAGGGCATGGTGTGTGCCCAGCGAGTCTGTCCCCCACCAAGCGCCCATAGATGAGGGCATTTGGCCACAGACAAAAGCCATGGTTCTGTGAGGTTCTGGCATCCACAGGGAAGCCAAAAGGTGGAATCCACGCCATGGTGGGATGGGAACTGTGCTCATGTTGGGGCCCCCAGACGCACAGACTCACAGGGTGCGAAATGCGAAGACTGGAGGCGGCAGGGCAAGGTCATGTGTGCTCCTACTACACCCTTGCTCCTCACATATGTGTATGCACACGTGCACAGACACACACCATATACATCCACACACCCCACACATGCACACATATGCAAACACCAGACACACACACACACTTATATGACACACATGCACGTGAACCCACACATGCCACACATGTGCACACACCACACATGCCACACACGGATGCCTACCTGTGCACACACCACATACATAGCACACACACACATACACCCATGACACATGTATACACGAACTCACACATGGTACACACATGTACACAAACCACACATGCTACCCACGCACACCTGTGCACACAGTACACACACCACACACGCAGACACCCATGACACATGTATACATGAACTCACACATACCACACACATGTACACACACCACACATGCTGCACACACACACACACCACACATGCACACATACACCCATGACACATGTATACATGAACTCACACATGGCACACACATATAAACACCACACATGCTGCACACACACACCTGTGCACACACCACACACACCACACATACACCTATGACACATGTATACATGAACTCACACATGCCACACACGTACACACACCACACATGCTGCACACACACATACACCACACATGCACACATACACCCATGACACATGTATACATGAACTCACACATGGCACACACATATACACACACCACACATGCCGCACACACACAGACACACACACACACCCCTTTCTCTACCTTCCAGTGCATCTGGATTGCAATTGGATAAGGCTGCACGGGCAGTGCATGCTGCGGGAGCTGTGAAGGGAAGGTGGATTCATTTGTACGTTTGTCTTTGAACAATCTATGAAAATAACTAAAATAAGCTGCATCTGCACAAAGGGGGGCAACTAGTTCACTGGTTGAAAAGGAGGCTTCTCAAGCGTCCGGAGAGCACTGTAGCTCTCGGTGTAACTATTGTAAATAATGTAAAGTTATCGTTAGCTCTAAGTTTCTGCCCATTAGCGGAAGGCTCTGGGAGCTAATGCTCACAGCCCAAGGCAGCTTGGCTGCCAGGACAGAGCCTGAGGCTTCCAGAAAGTCTTGGCCTCCTCAGGCCCCCTCTTCTCCTAACTGCCCAGTGTCGGGGTTCTTAAGGAAGGGGCGGGGGGAGGAGAAGCTCCTGCGTGGGGTGGGTATGTCCATCTCTCAGGAATCTCAGTAACTTCCCCATGCAGCCAGGCAGTTTACTTCTCCAGGTCTTGGCCTCTGGCTGCTACAGAAAGGCAGCCGCTGTGCTCTGTAAGTTATAAACCATTCGCTCCGTGCCCCAAACATCCTCTGGCCCTTGCTGAGGCTTCATTTCTTTTTCTCCTGAGGGAGACCAGCTCCAGCCAGGATCCCAGCAGCTCCAGGTGTGGAGGAGGAGGAAACAGTGACTTCCCTTCCACATGTTTCCAGGTACGTCTGTCCACATTCAGGCTCAGCTTGGGGGGGTGTGTATGTGCGTACCCCTGGGTATGTGCACTCCTGGGGTGTGTGTGCATGTGTGTGTGCACTCCTGAGGTGTGTGTGTGTGTACTCCTGGGGTGTGTGTTTGCATGTGTATTTGTGCACTCCTGGGGTGTATGTGCACTCCTGGGGTGTGTGTATGTGCACTCCTGAGGTGTGTGTGCATGTGTGTGTGCACTCCTGGGGTGTGTGTGTGTGTGTGCTCCTGGGGTGTGTGTTTGCATGTGTATCTGTGCACTCCTGGGGTGTGCATGTGTGTGCATGTGTGCCCTGGGGTGTGTGTGTGCTCCTGGTGTGTGTATGTGTATGCACACATATACAGGTCTGTTGTGTGCTTTTACTTTCTCTATCCCGGATTTCGGAAGTAGTGATCAATAAATGGACTCATCTGGAAATTTTCCATTTTGGCTCACCACAGAACAGAAGTGACCTGTGTCAAAGCTTCACTTGAGTCGAGACTCAAGTGAAGAGGGAGCTGGGGAGGGAGTACAGAGTCTGGGCTGAGCCCTCTCGAGCTGGATCACCTTCCTCCTAATTCCCTCCTTCCACGTCTAGAAGAGAAGGGGTCCAAGAGAAGGCATTGACCTTCACTCTGGTCCTGACCCTCAAAGGCTGTGATGTGCTTTTACGGAACGACCTCTATTTCCAATGCGGTTAACGATTATTGGGCTGGGCAGGGCCTGTGTTTCCCAGGTGGATGGCAAGGTGCACAGCATCCCCTGCAGATCCTCCCACTGCAGCCACCCAGGGCACCTCGCCTCCTCCTGTCCCATGGCAACAGGCGTGTGCTGACCTCTTCCTGGTTGAAAAAGGAGCCAACTGCCAGGTGGTGGTAAAATCTGAGGAGCTGTCCACATGATGTGGAATGTCTCGTCCTCTGTTAAATGCCACACAATTTACTGCGAACCAGAGGCCAGCTCCTGCAGCCACACACTCCTGGATGCCCACCCTCGCTGTCTTCCTCTGAGACACCACTCAGATCCTTTTCCTAAACCAACCTGTGCCATCCTGAGGACACTGCCTGGGCCCTTTCCAGTTTCATGCACCAGAAATGTTTACACAGGAAGCCTCCCATCCGGCCTTTTGTTTGTTAAATACGTGTACAACCTGTGTTCTAAGACACCGTGACTATTGTTCTTTCCAGTTTGGAAGGAAAAACAAAGGAAGGAGAGGAGAAAATAGCCCAAGAAAACTGGTTAATTTCTTGGAATCCCTGGGGTTCTCAGTCCCACAGACTTTACTGACATTTTCCTGCCCTTTAGGTAAGGAAGGAATGTCAGGTGAGGCTGATTCCAGGTGAGGATGGGACTGCTGGGGAGAATGGGACTGCAGGTTACAGCAGGACCCCAGGTAAGGACAGGACCTCAGACGAAGACAGGATTGTAGGTGGAGATGGGATTCTGGGTGAGGACAGGACCTCAAATGAGAAGGGGATCACAGATGAGGACAGAACTGCAGGTGTGGGTGGGACTGCGGGAGAAGATGGCACTCTGTAGCAGAATGAAAGCAGATACTGTCTACCGTCTCTCCAGGTACGGCCAAACAGAGCCCCCAGATGACTCCAGGTATCTCAGGTTTTGGGGACAGCAGGGGAATCCCTGCACACATGACACAGGGGCCTTTGTCTACTTTGGGGAAGGGAAGCCGCTTACTTAGGGCGTCTTCATCCTCTGTGTTTGTGGTGCCAGGACTCAGGTGCTTGAAGGGAGCGAGGAAGGTTGACAGTATGCTTACTTTATCTGGAAAGAAAAGAACAGGAAATGCACTTTTGACATGGAGCTTCAGAAAAACTCAGTTATTTTATAAATTCTTATTACTGAAGGCTGGACAAGGGAGGTGGAGAGGTCACTTCGGTTTCAGCCATTTCATTCTGATTCATTCTTTTACTATCTGACAGCATTTTATCAAATTCCTCTCTCCACTTAATTTAAAACTCTACGACTTCCTTCTTTCTCCCTAATTCTGGCGTCTCCCTTCATCTTGCCTACATCCATTAAAACTTTAAGCAGCTGTCTCCAGGGTGACGACCTTGCATCTGTTTACAAGGTCCTGGGTAGGGCAGAGCCTTCTGTCAAGATCATGTCACAGAGATGAACTAAGACACGTAAAACAATCTCACAATTAAAAGAGAATGGTGCAAATAAAGCCAAGACTATCCTTCCCCGTTAGTGCAGAATTTGCTTTCTAGACTTGACATGCATTCAAAATAAAGGACTTGTCACTTAGCGGGCGTTTGGTAGAAGCAGAGGAGGGAAGGAGGAGCTCGCCACGTGAGCAGAGCATGCACAGTAATTCCGGAAATGGCCAAGCGTCCTTGATGCCTGAAGCCTGTGGCCGGTGAGCAAAGGCCAAGCAGGCCCTGCCTCCTGGGTCCCACCACTCAGTGCAGCATGGCTGTGGAAGCAGATCCCACCAGGACTGCCGCTCCTCACTAACAAAACACGCTTTTCCACCCTCACGGTCTCAGCGATTTACTTCCTCAACAGGGAGATTAAGAAATGGTGCATTTGAGGTATGATCGACAGAAATAAAAATGACTGATAAAGGGATCCAAAGAAAAGTTCCTAATCTTGGAGATTTCCACCCCTAAATTAAACCGCTGCACTCAGAACTCACTGCCCTGCAGAGAAGGCTCCAACAGAGACACGGCAAAGACAGCCCCTCACTCCCAGGCACCCTCCAGCGCGCGCGGTTTGCTGTGTGCCCTTAGGAACCTGGACCACACTGGTTAAGACGCCGCAGGCAGAAATAGCAGCGTTACTCATCCAACACAGTGCAGAGCGCCATAGAGCCATTTCCTGGGGTCCAGGGCACTGGCTGTGGCATTGGCTGCTTTGCTACGCGGGATCCTTCCCTCTCCTTTGGAAGCTGTGGACACCCTTGGGCGGGATTTCCCAGCAGGTCACTGAGTTTACATCAAACTGTAATAAGGACAGCTCTCTGCAGGTGCCTCACTGTGGCACTGTGTACCTGCCCCAAGTGCGATTTCTCAAGAAAACATGAACTGCTGGTTTCTTTGCCCTTGGCCGTCAGGTGTCCAGACCCAGCCTGAAACTGGCTCTTTTTCTTTTGAGCCTGAGCCTGTTTCCTCCTTAGCCAAGATTTCCAGAGGCCAGGAGAGTTCACAGTGAAATTCATTCAGGAGCCCGTTAACAGCTGTTGTTTTCAGTAGGGATGGGCAACAGAGAGAACAATAAATAACTCAGATATAAAATTGCCTGTGCCTTCTTTGTTCTACCAAACAAACATAAACCAGGGAAGGGTCTGCCCTCCTAAACCCTCGCAGCCCAAGCTAATTCACTACAAGAGAATGAAATATCTTGCTTGAGTTATAATTTCATTAAGGGAGTCCAATAATGTCACACAAAGAGTGTGAGGCTCAAATGATTTAGTCTGGAGGATCTCAAAATGAAATTACATTTTTTAATAAAGTAAGGCTACAAACCAAACACAAAAATGCACTAGACTGTTTCAGACTTGACCTTAGCAAAATTATAAGACATTTAAGGATTGTTCTAGATCTATGAAAGTTTTTACTTTCTGATGTTGCTAAATTTATCAAATAAAAATTCAGGACATCCATTAAAATTGAGTTTTAGATAAACAATAGATAATTTTTAGTATACAGACATTTCTAATATTGTGTGAGACACACACTTTTTTTGTGTGTGTGTTTATATACATAATATTTATACATACATACACACCATATATAAATATTTACAAATAAAAATGTATTTATATATAAATATATATTCATATAAATATAATATAATATATATACACACACACACACATATATACACACAGACATACACACATATATACTTAAAAGACCTTACTCATGGTTTATCTGAAATTCAGTGGAAGACACAGGACTTCAACAGACATTTCTCCAGGGAAGATGTGCTAATGCCAATAAGCACATGGAAATGTAATCAACATCACTAATCATTAGGAGAATGCAAATCCAAACCACATGAAATACCATCGCACACCCATTAGGTCGGCTATTAGACAAGCAAAACCAAACCAAACCAGGAAATGCCGTGTTGGTGAGGACCTGGAGAAATGAGAGCCCTCTGGGAATGTAAAATCGGGGAGCTGCAGTTCTGCCTGCCAAGCAGGTCAATGCCCAAACAACTGAAACTCAGAGAGATACCTGTCCCCTCACATCCACGGCAGCATCGTGAGCCAGAGCCTGGGGTGAAGCACCTCAAGTGTCCTTCAGTGGATGAGAAGTGAAATGCAGTACGGCCATGCAACAGAAGATTAGGCAGCTTTAAAAAAGAGGGAAATCAGCCGGGCGCGGTGGCTCATGCCTGTAATCCCAGCACTTTGGGAGGCTGAGGCGGGTGGATCATGAGGTCAAGAGATCGAGACCATCCTGGCCAACATGGTAAAACCCCGTCTCTACTAAAAAATACAAAAATTAGCTGGGCATGGTGGCACGTGCCTGTAGTCCCAGCTGCTTGGGAGGCTGAGGCAGGAGAATTCCTTGTACCTGGGAGGCGGAGGTTGCAGTGAGCCAAGATCGCACCATTGCACTCCAGCCTGGAGCCTGGTGACAGAACAAGACTCTGTCTCAAAAAAAAAAGAGGGAAACCCTGCCATTTACAACGAGAGTGCATGAAACTGGAGGACCCCATCCTAAGTGAAATAAGTCAGGCATGGAAAGACGAATACTAATGCCCGCCTCACTCATCTGTGGAATCTAGAAGAGTGGAATTCACAGAAGCAGAGAGTAGAATGGTGGCTGCCAGGATCCATGGGGTGAGGGGAGGATGGAGGGAGTGAGGAGGTGTCGGTCTAAGGCACAAACTTTCAGTGATAGGTTGAATGAGTTTGAGTCTTAATGTGCAGTGTGGGGACTCTAGCTAATAACATGTATTGTCCACTGCAAATGGGATGAGACAGCAGATTTTCAGCATCCTCACCCCCCACCATGGTAATTATGGCTGGTGACAGATGTGTTAATTAATTTGTGGTTATCATTACACAATGTATATATCAAACCATCACCTTGCACACCTTGAATATATTCAACTCTTATTTGTTGATTTAATATTTTAAAATTAAAATGAATACATAAAAAACAATGTATTCATTGTTTTTTTATGAATGGCAAAACAAAAGGAAATGTAACTGGGCGCCCTGCATTTCATCTGGTGCTCCTGGTTGTGCCTGACCAACTTCTCTTTCCTCTAGTGCATGGGGCACCTTGAGCAACCAAACCAAACCCAAGGAAACAGAAAGGCAGCAGAGCTGCCAGCTCTCATTCACTGCTAACAAGCACACCTGAAATTCCACCTGTGGTCTGCAATCACTGTGAAGACACGTAAGCTCTGGGAGAGAAGCAATTATTTCTAAGAACGGGCAGACCACATCTTTAGAGTGTTCTTAGAAAAGGAGGGGAAGAATTACATTTTTTAACATAAGAAAATACAACAGAAGCTCTTGGACATCAGGGCCTCTGTGGTTTCCTTGGAACCCACTGTCCGTTGGGATCTATATTCCATTAGTTCAATAGGAGTGGAATGCTGGTATTCAACTAATTCTAGCTTTTGCGTATCTCTCATTGACGTCTTTTGAAAATCTGGTTTTACTCAAGTTTCTAATGAAAAAGGAAGCCATACTTTGTTGTTTTGCCTCAATTCTGGACCTTTTAGGTATGCTGGGAGAAGCCGCATCACAGGGCCCCCCACGCTGCCGCCGCCTCCATGCCCAGAGGAGGGGCCAGGCTGGCCGGGTGGTAGAAATGCCAGAGGTCAGCTGGGCACTCCCCACCCCTCAGCTGCTCACATCCTGGTTTCTTCAGCTCAGCCTCCCATCATCGGACGTGGCCAGCTGGAAACTGACCTGGTGGATGCAGTGGCCCTGGGCCAGCCCTGGTCTAAGAGTCAAGAGTCACTTTCAGGAAAGGTGTGATCGCCGTTTTTCACGCATTACTTGAAAGTTCCAGGACACTTGCTATAGAAACCTTGTTACTCACTGTGGAATCAATGGCATTTATTTGAAGCAGTTTTATGTATTGTAGGGGGCATCTGGGTGAGCATCTGCAGGGCACAGGAGCCCTTCCTAGAACCACGTGCAGTCATAAAGTGGAGCTGGTGTCTGCAACACTGAGGCTCTGAAGTCATTACCAATGTTTGATATTAAAACAGTTTGGGAGGACTACTACCCTGTTTTAGGGCTGAGGGAGAGAGAAAATAACTGGAGTAACTTTTAGGGATTTTACGGTTTCCTAATCATCTTGTTTAGAAATAAAATGTCCTGAGTTAATAGTTTACTTACTGTTTCTTGTTAACATCTTGGGGTGAGGATTATCCTTGAGCATGATTTAAAAAAAAAAAAAAAAGCAGTGGCTTATTTTCCCTGAAAGGCACATGTGGCTACGCCGACAGCTTTGCATGCTATGTCAGGAATTCATGAGTCCCCAGATTGCTTGGCCTTCCCCAGAATGCTTGATATCAATCACCAGGCTTTAAGGACATGTGGTTGAAGTATTAGGTGTTAGTGTACTTTGCTAAATCAAAGTAACTGCATATATTGAGGATACCTGGTTACTTGGGTATTAGTCACACTGCATGATCACTGGGGACATGTCTCAGCTTTCTTGATGTATTTATTCCAGCTAAAGAATCTGAGACATTGAGAAGCTGACTGGTGTGCCCAGGACCACCTATAACATTCTAGGTGAAGAATCTGAGGCAGTGAGAAGCTGACTGGTGTGCCCAGG